GCAACTGTCTGGTGCTTAGTAGGGAATGGGGGAATGGATCCCTATGATAGCCCCTTAAGGTCCCTTATAGTAGTCCCTGTAACCCATTCCCCCATTCCCTACTAAGCACCCGACAGTATTCTTTTGGCAGGCGGCTTGTGGAGGCTTCTTCACGCCTTGGAGTAAGCAGCATCCCAGTCTTTCCCAGCCTTCTAAGAGACTCCAAAGGAATATACCTTAAATTATAGTAGTACCCCTAATATGATTTAAGGTATATCCCTTAATTAAGGGGTATTGGAATCTCTGGGTTTAGTCAATCTGGCCGTCCCAAGCCAAGACAACAGAGGTCCTTACATCTCATGCAAACTCGATCTGTTGAAATGTGGGTAGTTTTCTAAATGAGGGTCCCTTTTGGGGTCCTTTTTATAAGGGTGCCCTACTATATTGGGGACCTAAAAAGGGACCCTAGTTTAGATATCTAACCACGTAGTGCACTTATAGTACCGTTATAGAAACCCTATAGAATCCTTTTAAGGAGCCCTTAAAATAACGGACCCTAATTTATAGAAATACCCATGTGTCTTTGCATGCAGAAGAGCCGGACTTGTAGTTTGGGCGACACCTGGCGGAAAGCCGACGTGATGGCACAGATGCAACCATAATACTAGCAGCTCCAAGAAGTAGTAGGGGGCCTTAATAATCAACTACATTATTGTGGGGTTCCTTAATTATATTAGAATCCTAGTATAAGATACCCCCTAAACCCTGTTCCAATTATTAAGGCCCCTCTATTGCGCTCAGTCACCTGCACTAAACGGAGCAGCAAAGAGCGACGTGCTGGCTGCATGGGTCGAAAAGCACATGTGCACCACACTCTGGAAAACGGACACGGCCGGGGTTTAGGGTTTAGGGGAGATAGGGTTTAGGCTTTGGGGGTTTAGGGTTTAGGGGAGATAGGTTCGCTTGTAGCTGGATAGAGCGGCTGCCGTTGCTTGCCCGGTCGACCTGGGTAGGATGAGGTCTTGAACTCTGACAACTCTAAACCCTAAACCCTAAACCCTAAGCGCAAAACCCCTGAACCAAGCCCTAAGCCCCTAAGCCCTACAAGTCCTACTTCGCAGACAAAGAAGTTGCGGACGGTTTGCTTCTGGCTTGGAGCTTTGACCGGAGAGTCGAGACATGGCAACCGGTAACCCTATAGGCCCTAAACCCTAAACCCCTAAACCCTAAATCCCTAAACCCCAAACCCCTGAAGCCCTAAACCCTAAACCCTAAACCCCTAAACCCTAAACCCCTAAACCCTAAGCCCTTAAGGGTTCTATGCAGGAGTCCTTCAAGGGCCTCCTTGAGGGATCTATGGGGGTCCTCACAGGGTTCCTTTTAGGCATCCGATAGGAGTCCTTACGGGGTTTCCTTTAAGGGTTCCGTTAAGGGCTCCATTCAGGTTTAGGGTTTAGGGTTTAGGGTTCTGTTAAGGGCTCCATTAAGGTTTCCCTGAAAGGGTACTATAAGGGTCTATGATGCTATGATGGGATGTTCTTCAACGTTCCCTTGTAGTGACCTGGAAATGGGTCCTTTGCGCATGATATGCCACTACGTACCCACGGCTCTATCCTTCCACAGAATTACAGCCATCCCAAGCCCTAAACTCTTACAAACCCTGCCAGAAGTCCTATAGGCTCCGCATAGCCACCCCTGCAGAATCCTTAATTATAGCATTGAGCCCGTATAATTAAACGATGTTAGTCAGTATTCTGTCAGGTTCTATCATGTTGTAGTATAGTATAGTATAGTATAGCATCATATAGTATAAGCCTCATAGAAGCGTAACCCCCAAACCAGAGAACCGCTCCTAAACCCTTAAACCCTAAATCCCTAAACCCTAAACCCTCAGCCCATAAACCCTTAACCCCTAAACCCTAAATCCCTAAACCCTCAACCCCTAAACCCCTAAACCCTAACGAAAACCCTAAAACCCTATAAACCCTCAACCCTAGACCCTAAATCCTTACAAACCCTAAACCCTAAACCCCAAATCCTTACACCCTAGACCCTAAATCCCTATATCCCCACAACCCCTAAAACCCTAAATCCCGAAAACCCTAAAACCCTATAAATCCTCAACCCTAAATCCTTAAATCCCTACAAACCCTAAACCCTAAAACCCTAAATCCTTACACCCTAAACCCTAAATCCCTAAATCCCTACAACCCCTAAAACCCTGAACCCCCTTTTTTTGCAAATAACCCTGAACCCCCTTTTTGCAAATCAGGACCGCCCGAAGGCAACACCAGCTCCACGGGGCCTAGCTCAAAACAGGCGCTGAACTGCCCGCCGAAGGGTTTAGTGTGTAGAGTTTGAGGGTTTAGGGTTGAGGGTTTCAGGGTTTATAGGGTTTAGGGCTTCAGGGTTTGAGGGTTTAGGGTTTAGGGTTTCAGGGTTTAGGGTTCAGGGTTCAGGGTTCAGGGTTTAGGGTTTCAGAATTTAGGGTTTAGGGTTTCAGGGCTTAGGGGTTCTAGGGTTTAGGGTTTAGGGCTTCAGGTTTAGGGTTTAGGGTTTCAGGGTTTAGGGTTCAGGGTTCAGGGTTCAGGGTTTAGGGTTTCAGGTTTCAGGGTTTAGGGTTTAGGGTTCAGGGGTTTAGGGTTTAGGACAAGACCGCGGGGGTTTGGGGATGTTTGGGGAAGTTTTGGATGTAGAGTTCAGGGTGCGAGGCT